GATCATTTTAACTTAGCCTATGATCATTAGTAAACCTGGGACCTAATTTTTATAATGATGTACTGCTGGCTGTACTATTCTTCTTTCAAATCAAAAGAATATCAAGCACTTTTGAAATGACCTAAAATCTATTCAAGTCAGTGGAAGGACTTTCATTTCTTTGGGCTTTCATCCAGACTTCGCATCTAGTTTGAAAGACTGGGCCCTTGAATTGTAAGCAAAGAGCAAATAGCACTACCATACTGGCTGTATTGAAGTGCTAAAATGGGGGGGCAGAGGTACATAAAGTACCTTTTTTGCCTTTTCAGTAATGATACTTGAGAAATGCACTTGACGGGCTTAAAAACATTAGTCTTCAGAAATGTCTTGTAAAAGCTGTACCTGGATACACCTGGATTCAGATAATGAAAGCTTTGGGAACACATTGCAATTATTCAACACTACTCCCTACAGACAAGCGTCTCAACAACTTGGTCCTTATCTTCAAAGCCTTTATTGATCTGGATCTGGTACAATGAGAAAACAGCTTAAACTCCTAAGGCAGAGGTGATGGACAAAAAACCAGTGCACTTCTAGCACAACAGATTTGTCCCTCACAGGAGGAAAATCAATTTGTCCAATGGTTTACTTGAATGAAGGAGGCTGGTAAGACATTCAACTAATTCCTGTAAAATTTAGGATCAATTGCAAACTAGCCTACGTGTAGTTCTGTCATAATAAAAACACATAATCCAGCAAACTGAAACAAACAGTTTTACGTTATATAAAAAGCCACATACATGATTTTCTTTAAAGAGAGAAAGGCAAGAGCCACTTTTCAGTAGCCCCTAAGAAAAAGGTAAAAGCCATAGTTACGTGTATATTCAAAAATTAGGTGAAAGAAGGAATCACCAATGTATTTTTTAATCTTTGGAGTTACTCTCTGAGAATGTTCTAGAGTTTACCTTTAATTAAAAGAAGGCCCTTTTCTACTTTATTCCACATAAATTATTCACATGATTTCTGTGACTCAGTGATAGCACATTAACAGCTCTGTTATTTTATATAATTGCAGTACATAGGTAATCAGAATGCATTATGTTGCAAAGATAATTATGACAGTGTTTTCTGCTGTCATGTGATGCTGGGAGCCTCAGCAGTATGTTTTTGTAATACCCTGCGTGTCATATGGATGGGGAGGAAACCGTCAAGAATTTCCCAAGGCTCTGTATTTTTCTACAAATATATTAGTTACACAAAAGAGATCCCAGATTAGTGACAATTCTTTCTTTTCTAGGGGCCAAGCCAACTTACAAAAGTCTATTGTATTTAGGCAAATGTTTCCTTAATTTGGGGGCTTAAGCAACACTGCAAAGACATTTTGGAGCCACTGTGTTATTACTTTAATGAGTAATTCACATGCAAGTCCCTCTATCAGCGTATGTATGTGTGGACGGTTGTCATGAACCCGTGGGAGTACAGGGCAAATTTTGATTCATGAATTTGAACCTCAGTAACACAAATTTTCATACCCTATGCAGCCAGCATTGGACTCGTATGTATGAGACGATTTGGTATTTTTTTCCCTTCCTAGAGACAAAGATTTCTAACAAATATTTGTGTGCCTGAGGATGGAAGAAGTTCTACTAGTTTGAAGTTTTCCCTTCATCTGAAAAGTTCAGAAAGCCAAAATCTATCAGAAATGTTGCAATACATGCTGACATCATGCTAACAGGTACCGCAACAACCCTAATTTATACAGCGTTTCTTCACTCAGTTTTTCTGCAGTGCCAACTTGTTTCTGTTAGGTAGTCACTGTTTTCACAGGCAAGCAATTAAAAGGAAATTAAACACGGTATGTGCATTTGACACTGGTTAACAACAGCCAGCAATTAAAGGAGGAATTTCACCCCTAATCTATTGTGATATATCGCGTTGTTTTAAAGTTATATCGAATAATAACTGGAAATTGCTGATGAGGAAGACCTCGCAGATCTTGTAGTCTGTCCTCTTACCAGTGCAAGCTGTTTTTAATACATCAAGTACTTAAATGTATCCAAGACTTTTATTTTCCTGACATCCATGTGTATTAATATGCATACATTAAATACTTTCAGTTCACCAGGTAATAACTTAGAATCTATTAAATGGGTAAATAATAAAGTGCATAGTGCTTAAGAACACGATATTATCTTAAATGTGTTTTTTCCTACCACTTTTCTAATTATTTGTTTCCACTTAGGGTGAGCAGGATCTCTTAGCAATATAGTATCTTTGGGGATGGGGTTTGCCTTCAAAGTCTGTTGGAAGGTTTCTAGAGCTGAAGAATTCAAATCCCTTGTTACATTTTACAAAATATGTAGGGATTTCCTATCTGCTTGAGTTTTAGGCACTTCCCCTGCAAAACATGACTGCCCTCATATTTTAAGATGAAAAATGACCATCGGTCAGATGGAAACACCCAGCAGATTGCAGCTGGGTCGGGCAGGTACAGGGTGTGACAATTGTCACACCTTGCAGCGGGACCTTCTCATGTTTTAGACACATTTTTTTAACCCTCTGTACAGCTATGAGCTTCGTGTCCTGTGACTATAACTTTCAGAATTTGATCACTTTTCACTGTGAATGTTTACACTAGCACAGTGGAGTCCCCGGAACAGGCAATGACCTCAAAACCTATTATAACCTATTTTAATAACTCCCATGGATATCCCAACCTCCTGAAGCTATTGTCACATACTGAAGCAGTCTTCTTTTTTCCAGTACTTAGCAGACAGTATAAGCAGTATTGTGGGGAATTGCTTACACTGTCTCTCCCACGGCTTCCATTTACTTCTTGGTGCTGAAATTGGGTTCTCTGTTGTTTACCACCCTTACACCCATCTGTCATCACAGGTTAACAAATAGCTATTGGCTCTAGTGAGCTTGGAAGCATTGAGGAAGGCAGGGTTGGCCTTACTGTGTGCAGGAACGGGATAATACTCCTGTGTTAGTCACAATTCTGTTGTGCTCACTACTTCAAGCAGGGTAAAAAACATCTTCCACGCTCCTCCTCCTCCTGTTCCCCCTTTTTTTTAATCTATGTAACAGACTATATATTCAGGGTTCTGAATGCAATGTCGTATTAAGACAATTTAATACAATATAAAAATGTAATATTTTTATTTTTCCTTCTAAAATTATTTCTGGAAGTATTGCTCATGAAATAAAAATATCTAACAGTGTCAGGTAACGTTTTTTTCTTTTGCCATAAATAGATTGCAACAGTTGTATCTGTCATATGGATTGTAACAGTTTAAAGCTGTACATGGATGTGGATCTTATGAAAAATAAGTCATTGTTCATGGTCAAAGCTACAGCTAGCCATAACTATTTATAAAATATATGGATCATTTTTAAGATCCGTTAAACTCTACATGTAATTGAAACAAAGAAGCTTACCTCAATCTTTCAAATATTTCTTGTTTAGCAAAACCACATTTCATGCTATCATTAAAGAGTAAGAGGTTTTGTAAAACATGTTAGTATGTATCTAATTTTTGCATATATTTATCAAATTCTTAAGATTTTTTAAAGTTAAAATAAAATATGTTTTTATTAATATTGGTCGATTCTGTGATCCAAGACCATAAGCATTTTCATGGAATGGAAGCCTTTCAGCATTGGCATTTTATCCTTAATCTTCATTGCAGCAAAAGCAAAGTGTGATTTGTAGACATTTATTCATAATTTCTAAACCAGTTATGACCTTAATGCATAGACACTTCACCCTGGATTGGGTCACAGTTTATTTTGCATTATATGATCATGAAGATGACCACAAAAAAGGAAAAAACCTTGTATTTTATGTATTAAATACTTTAAATTTAATTTTTTTCATTTTTTTCATGGCCCTACAGTATGTAAACATTTTTTGCTGGTTATAATCTTTAAACTGTTGCTCTCAGTAAACATCCTAAACTTTCCACTAGCTTTGAGGTGCAGGATTAGGTGCAGAAACTGGCCCTATTTAACAGTAACTGTGTTTTATTTAATTTATTTTCAAGGGTTTAGGAAACTAAAATTAACATTTATGACTTAAGAAGGAAATGGAAGGGTAATAGCGATGATGAGTATAGATTTCTTACTGATTCAATGACAGAAAACTCAAGAATGTTTTTCATGTTATGCATTTGTGACCTTGAAAGTCATAACTTGAAGCTACTACATTAGTTCTGGTTCACCACACACACTTGATCTGCCAAAGCACTGACTCATGAAATTCAGGTGTGACGAGTATATAAAGACCATTTGCTATGGAATTAGGAAGACTAGAGATGTTATAAAGGAGAATAATTTATGGGTGAAATAATTGGACTAGGACTGGAAGCCTTCCTACATCATTACCATTGTATCAAGACTAGAAGAGTATATAAAAAAAAATTGGTAGTAATAGAAAAGTCAGACGATAATTTGATTTTTTTTTTTTTTCATTTCAGCAAAAAGATGTCTTTGGGAAAAAAAAGTCTACAAGTAAACTGTGTTTTACTCAGTGCTTTCACATCCCTTCATATCATATGCCACGGTGATCAAGGGAGTGCATTTTTACTTTAATTGTTCTTCATGTATTTCTTTCCTAAGAAAAAACCATCAGCTCAAACATGAGATAGCTTTTATTAAGTAATGACAGTATCCATTTTAATACAAATTTGAAAATGGCCAAGTGTGACTATAACATTGTTCCAATGTTCTGATGTCTGCAAATTAATGAAATATATAATGATTTAATGTTATTAATCTGCATTGAAGTCTTACCATGCTAAATAACACGAACCAACTTTTTTATTTTAGCAGTGTATTCCAGACTCAGTTCCCTTTGTTTTTTTAGACTTAGTCAAAACTGTTTGCTACAACACTTTTTGCATATTAAATATTAAGATTTTTCAACAGAGTACACGCTAAACAATGGATCATTTCTGTGTTCCCTAACTTATAAAAAATGGAGAAGCTATTTTTTTAAATGAAGTTTATTGCTTTTACACTTCTACTGCTTTTACACCTCTGTATCAATGATGCTACATTTCTGTGTTTTGAGAACTCACATAAAAAGCTATCATTTAAGATGAATAAGTGACAATATTAAAAAAATCAATTGATTCTGTAGCTTAGAATACTGTCAATGATTTTTTTATACATATATACATATACATTTTTAATACTAGAAGACTATATTTAAAGATGTTTTCAATGCTGAATCATACATATTTTATATACAGATATCTCTGAAGAATGACTCAAAATAGTGGTTTTATTTACATAGTTTTATCATGACAGACTGTATGGTGGTTGCCAACCATATACTGGGCTGCATCAAAAGCAGCGTGACCAGCAGGTTGAGGGAGGGGATTCTCCGCTCTACTCCGCTCTGGTGGGACCCCACCTGCAGTTCTGCATCCAGCTCTGGGGTCCTCAGCACAGGAGACACATGGACCTGTTGAAGAGGGTCCAGAGAAGGCCACAAAAATGATCAGAGGGATGGAACAGCTCTCCTGTGAGGACAGGCTGAGAGAGTTGGGGTTGTTCAGCCTGGAGGAGAGAAGGCTCTGGGGAGACCTTATAGCAGCCTTCCAGTACTTAAAGGGGGCTTATAAGAAAGATGGGGACAGACTTCTTAGTAGGGTCTGTTGTAACAGGACAAGGGGTAATGGTTTTAAACTGAAAGGGGGTAGATTCAGACTAGATACAAGGAAGAAATTTTTTACCATGAGAGTGGTGAAACAGGTTGCCCAGAGAGGTGGTCGATGCCCCATCCCTGGAAACATTCAAGGCCAGGTCGGACAGGGCTCTGAGCAGTCTGATCTGGTTGAAAATGTCCCTGCCCATGGCAGGGGTTAGACTGTTTGACCTTTAAAGGTCCCTTCCAACCCAAACCATTCTATGATTCTATGAATTCCTCTATGAATCTATTACATGAGGTCTTCAATTTGCGCAGAACTGAGGCTAGACTGCTCAAAGGAACTTGGGGGAATTAGTCACATGAGTTTCATAACATAATTGTTATAACAAATCCTTGTGTATTTAGTGCTAAAGAGTCATCATGGTAGTACAAAACATGGCTATTCCTATCTTCACAGCAACTGCAGGGGCACAACTCAATATGTTATTACAACAATGTGCTTGTACACATCTGACTAATAAATGCAGTACCACAGGGTTATTACCACACTGTGGTGATAGCACTGCAGGGCCATAACATGAGCTGGAAAAGAATTATCAGCATACACTTTTGCCAGATATTTGCAATGCTGGAATTTCTTTAATAGAGGAAAGGAAGACAGCATAACAGATAAGGCTTACACACCTAGATCTATCAGATCTCTCCACCTCCATGTAGGAGCACTGCGGATGCAGGCTGGAGGCCAGACTCTAACCATTCCTCTTGACTTTGTGGTGCAATGAAGTGTGTGATTTATGGCCTGTTTGAGATGACGGGGGAAAACTTCAGGCCCTCTGGATGACCCACTGGCACCTTGGGGGTGCCCCCACCTCAATGCCCTCCTGTTCTCCAGCCCATTTCCCAGAAGCCGAGTGAAGGAGCTCTGTGTCATGCTCCCCAGTCCTGTAGACTCAGAAATGCTGTGCCTCTTTAGAGGGGAGGTGTTACCCAAGAGTTTATAGAGGGCTGTGAAGCTTTTTGAGATGCTTTTGAGGACAATCCATGTGCTCTAAAGTGCAGGATGCTCTGGACCTGGAGACAGAGCATTAGCATACGTGCTATCCATAGAGCCCGGTTAATATTACAGTGGGTAGCGTATAAGAGATATTCAGGTGGAAAAGCTGTAACACAGAGATATAGTGGCTGGGCCAGGTTTGCTCCCTAGACAGCAGTAGCGTCACGGACTGAATGCAGATCTCTATGTTTGCATGTAGCTTGGAGTCTGGCATAATTCAGGGTATAGACGCACTGTAGCCAGTACAAATAACAAATGGCAATTTCTGAGAATAAATTGCCAACTAGAATTTGAAAATGCACAGGTTTATAGCAAAACAATTTGTGATTGCTCAAATTATTAGTAAATTGATCAGCTTAACTAGGCTATTCATCTACTAAATGTGAAGCTTTTCAAGGTTATTTGGGGATGCCTGCTCTCATCTGTCTCACTTTTCCCAGAAATGTTGACAGGACTATACTCACTGGCTGAATAGTTACAAGCTTACTCATCTCTGTCTCTGGAAGACTACTTGGGTTCACTCCTTTAGTAGACTGAAACCAATAAGGACAAATCCTCATATGCTATAAGCAGAGAGAGTGACAAAAAGACCTCAGCAAAGTTGGAGAAGAATAAACTAGCTACCAACTTTTTCCATGAAAGCTAAAGATGTAACAAAAAAGTTAGAAGATCCAAAGTTACCTCAAGTTAAACTCTTTCTTTAAGCTTGAGTCAGACTGTTGTGTTTGGGTTCTGTTCAGATCTGTGTGAAATTATGTACCTATGAGCCACAATTCCTTGGCAGTAAAATGAAATTAAGTGTCCATCTGCCTTAGCTTGGGCTCTTATTTCTTGCTGATAAAACTCCTCTCAGCAGAGAGCTGATAAACAATTTTCATTTGCCTACAGTTGCTTCTCGACAAACGCACACATTCTTTTGAGCTCTGCCAATCACCTTCTAATTCTTCCCAAATCAAAATACCAGTAATTGAAGGTGTAAATGTATGTACAGATTTGTAAGAGAAATAATAAGTGTTTTGCACTTGAAGTGGAATACAATGATTATCAATGATAAATCTTGGAAATAAAAAAAAAATGTTTTCCTGAGATTGTAACTGATGGTTACAGCACATTCACCCGACATCATGAGCACAACGGGCACATTGTGCAAGAGAAGTGAAAGACAAAGAGTACAAACTAGAAGAGAAAGTAGCTTGGCATGAACAGCCTATCCTCATCAAATCATGATGCTATATTAGAATCTGAAATTATGAAAGAGGCCATGTCTGTCGGAACCAGCTTTCAAAATGCTTTTCCACTCCCTCACCAGCTCAGGTCTGTCCTGGGTGCCGTATCACACTCCCTGACAGAGAAAGAGGTCTGAGATAGCGGATGCATCTCCCACAGGCAGCAACGTGCCCTGGGCTCTTTGAATCCTCTGTCTCCACCATGGCAGCAAACCGCTAAGAAATTCTGCCTTTAAAACAGGCAACAATGCAGGCACTGAATGCTATTTTTAAAACCATCCCAATTAAAGGCCTAAAATAGAAAATATGGTGATTGATTTTAAAACCCAACAAAACGTTTCAACTACATCATAAATTGCAGGCATTAGAAAACATAAATAACAGTGGAAGGTATCTAAACTCCTCTCTGTTAAGAAGGCAGGATGCGTAGTCTACAAAATGAATAAAATATGCTAAAACATTTTATTTATACAGGATACAAGATTGCCACAGGGCACAAGTTTTAGTTATCTAAGCAAATAAAATCTTGTTAACTGTTACCTTTTTTATAAAGCCTGATCCAGGAAAGACCATATTTTAATATACTGAAGTAGACAACCAGTATTCCATTTCTTTCAAGGTTATATGAGGCAAGTCAGCTACAATGGAAATTTGATGTGAGCATAATGTTTATACAATAGGAATTTTAAGGGATAGAATGCAAAACGTAAAATTTGTTTCTAATTGCTCTTTACTTTCCAACCTATAAAGCTCAGTGAGAAGGCTGAATGGTTATGTCGTAGTAGATTAAAATTTAAATCAAGTGCATAAACAGCCACTGATAAAACTAATGCATAAAACATAATGAGAATAGGAATCACTGGGAGAGAACTCTCAACTGCATTCTGATGTATGGATTCATAGACTCAGCACAATAAAAAAAAAGATTGGAAGTCCAAACTAGCTACTAGATTCAAATATTGCCCCCAAATTGTTACAATACATGATTTAAACAGTGGTTCTTTGGTTTCTCTTATTCATTATGTCTGGTTTTGAATATTGATTTGAACTTTAAAACTTAATGTAAGTAAAAGATTCACTTGTAGCATTGTGAGCAATTTAATCTCTACAAAGAAAAATTCAGGCTACCAGTTTGCTAGCCTAAGGATAATTTTATTTCAATGGAGGAGCTCTGCAGTAACCTACATACTACTTATACTTATTACTTAAGTACGGTCAGGTTTTAACTATTTAACAGGCTTTTTGTACTCTTGCTTTCAGGAGGGTATGTCACCACTATGTAAGTGGAAATTGTGTATCTGTTATCCCTTTTTCATTTATAGTAAGAAGCTAAGGAAAAAAATAAAATGCAAAATTAGTCAACATTGGAGGACAATGAAAATGCGACCATACATAAATTTTGGTTTTGGAAACAGGTACCACCTCCCAGAATAATATTTGAATTAATCTTAAAAGGAACATATACGCAGATAGAATTAAGGGCAAGAGCAAGGTTTTGCAGATCCCAGAGGAGTCCAAAATCTGATAAGTTACTATTAGATCACTTCTAAAATCACAACAGAGTTGGGCTAGAAAAACCTCTGGTAAATGGCTTTATGGACCAAGCAAAACCAGGCATCTCCTGGCAAAAACATTTCTATTTTATCTGCCAAAGAACATCAGAAAACAAATTAAGATGAAACTTTGCCAGATAATGTATGTGTTAAAAAATGCAGCTACTGGACTGATAAAATTAGCTCATTCATTGTTAACGGAATATACTAAGACACACATTTAGGGCAAAAATACGAAACTTTGTTGACTCAGAAATACTTAAGTACACTGGATTTTCCTTTATCTGTGCTCTTTGAGGTATGCAATATATAAACCTTACATGAATGGATCTTAAAAAACCCGTTGCAGCAAGTTACTCTTTAAAATTCAGGGTATCCCTTGTCGCTTTATTTGTACCAGTTATGAATTTTATAGGAGCATGGTAGTGGCTTAACAGTGCAAAACTGTTACCAGGGCTGGTGACAGGCTGTCAGTTCCTAATGGTACTGGCACCATGGGATTCCTGAAGTCTCTGAATCAAATTCTGATTTCAGTTGTACTAACTTTATCCTGCATGAGTCAGTTTTGTTGAGGGTAGTCACTCTTAAGAGTCATGAATATTAATTTAACTAGGGCAAACACTGTTGTTGATTTGCTATTGCAACACCTCAGCTTTCCAGCGACTGTAGTTAAGTACTGCAAAGACTTACTGCAATCTATGCTCTGAACTGGACATGAAGTGGCAGTACCATTAGTTTGTTCAGTTCTTTCACTACTGTCAGTCTAAAAGAGTGAATGGACAGGTCTGATTGTCATGAAATACATGATTCTGCATCTATATCTTATCCACTGAGTATTGAAAAGTCATGAGCTAAAGTGCTTTTATGAAAGTTGTACATGAGTGGCATAATTTTAGATTTTAAAAAATGAAACTGTTGAGTCTTCAAAAGATGAAAGAAATAGGGGGGAAAAAAAGAAAAATACAGTCAGAGGCATTTATCCAATACTGTGAGGCAAAGGCCATCATTTACCGTGTACAGCTTGGCCTTGAAAAAAGAATTTTTAGAGAACATAGTGATTTAACTATAAAAAGAACTCCATTGTAAACATTCTGAGATAGGAAAGAATAACAGCACCTTCCGTCACATTGATGATCAATCTATAGAGACATGTGTGATATTTTACCAAAATTTTTTCTGCAGCATATGGCAAGGAGTTGCTGCAATTTTTCTTTCAATTGTTACACAGATTTTGCCATTTTTCTTTTTTAATAGGGAAAACTATGGTACATTATTTAGACTTTATCAAATAGAATGAAAACTAGTATTTGATTGCACTGTTATAAAGAACTAAGAAAGAAGGTCACACAGGGAAAAAGAAAGTAACTTAAGGTCAAGAAGAAAAATAAGAAAATTTCAGTGAAGAGATCAACTGCTCATCCTAAGCCATACATAAAAAAGCACAACTAATTTCCTGTCTAAAACATGCTTTAAGATGCTATAAGACTGCTAACTAATATGATTGCTAAGACTGGCATTAGTTATGTCCTGATCAGACTTCCTAGAAAGAATGGACTGCTATGAATTGTTTTAATAAGTATATATGAAGTCTGAAAAGATAAAGATGGCTTGTCTAGAATTCTTTTTTATCTGTCTAGTCATCACAGCATCCTATGAAAATAGCATTACGTGGGATGAAGAAAGACTTGAAGAAGCTACAGCATTACTAGAAGTTGTAGGCGAGAAAAATTGGAGGAGATCATTAATTTTCTGAGGAATGTGTTGTGGGCACAGTTTAAACCTGAGAACAGGCTGTTGTCTAAAGTACAATGGGTTTTGGGTCACCTGCTTTGCAAATGTGGTGACTGTGTCACAATCAGCTGAGAAACTGCTGATACAGGACTGATCGCCAACCTTAACCCTTTTTTGCGGTAGGAGGTGACACCAGGGTTTTTTGCTGGCATCCTCTGCCCACCCAACCCAGACTTACCCTACAGTTGCCACCTCCTGCCTTGTAACCTCTCCCAGATGCCCACCAGATGTCCACAGACAGGGTAGATGACTCTCAGCCATAGAATATTTTGACATGCAGTGCATGGTCATGCAGACTGGTCATAAATATGACAGCTTCCGAAATACCAGTGATGGAAAAAAGGTCCTGGTAAAAACTTAGCTCTGTTGACTGTTACACAAATCATAACTCTACAGATATTGCAGGTTCACTACTGTTCCGGAGAATGGTACATTGACTTGGGCATATTTAAACATCCATTTTGAAATTACATTCCCAACTTCTTTCTATTCACATTTGGTTGAATACAGTCTGTCCCTTAAAAGCCTTATACAGGATATTTTCTTTTTTTAAAAAATATATTTAAAGTGTATGTAGTCTAACTACCTTTTCACAATGCAGTAGGAGAGTGGAAGTACCTCCAATAAGGTTGTAATGCCATCCACCTTCTTAAAACATTCTACACTAAATAACTATTAAATCAAAATATCACGCTTTACCAATAAGTTATGAAATGTCCAAACAAGTATATGACATTTTAAGGAGGCTGTTACAGACAAAACTACACCATATCTCATATTTCAAAGATCTTTTAAAAAAGAAGACCAATTATTCTGTCAGCTTCATTGTGGAAATCCAGAACAACTCTGCCTATTTCATTCAGGTTAACGCTGGGCCCCTCACAGGGGCTGATTGAGCTGCTTAGAGTCTACAGGAGCCCCCTTACTGAATGCAACAAGGACTGAATTTCAGCTATAGCATACAAAATTAATAGGCAATGGGTCAGCCAGGCAATGACCAAGGCTATGTCCACACATGAGTGTATAATTAGCTAGTAATACCTGATCCTCATTAATTCATGTTCATTTTTGCTAGTGCTAACTGATATTGTGCTGTGATAGCTCCATCGCAATGGCCACAGTTTCTCTCCCTTCTCCACAGCCTGAAATTTGCTTCCTCATCTGCCTCCCGCTGTTCACAGCCCCTTATTCCAGAGCCTCACTGCTGCAGTTGTTTCTCTTGTCTTGCATATCGTTTTGTCTGAGAAACATCACATTCTTCCCAAATTACTTGGCATCATAGCTGGGTGCCCAAGGAGGTGCTTGTTCTGTTGGAGAGTATACATTGTAGCTTGAACAAAACCTCTGAAATTTGCTCGTCTCTGCTAAAATTCTAGGAAATGTCACCAACTCCCCATGTCTGACCTACTGTACTTAAACATCTGTAAATTTCATTAAATTTTCTTTCCTCCTACTGAAACACAGTGTGTAACTGCTTGGAGCTGTTAACTGTACACTGTGGGTTTTTTCCTCCATCTCTCTCTTTAAGGCATTGGAGCTTTGGTAGTTCTAAACCCCAAAATGTACAAGGACGAGTAAGTATATGAAAAGATAAATCAGTGGAGTTTATGTCCAGTTTTAATCACTATCTCCAAAGAGGAAGAAAGGAAGCAACACAAATGTAAAGGCAAGCAGGACGGTATCTCTCTTGTATGTATTCTCTCTCTAATTCCATAGGGAAATGTCACTAATAGTCAGTAATAACTCTCATTCCACGATGCTCATTCAGTTTCTCTGAACTCACTGGAGCACTCTATGAAATGTCTTAGAATATATCTTATTAGCCTTACGTAAGAAATACAGGTGGTTTTCTTCCAGGAAAATGAGCGAGACAGACAGGAAAATGGAGTATGCTAAAGAATCATCATTTTTCAACTGACCATAATAAAAGAGGTACAAGGTACAATGTGTAAAAAAAAATCTTTCTAGAATTATAAAAGTGAGGATTTTGCTTAGCAAGCCTTTATGTGACTATATTTTGCAATATAGAAATATAGAAAAGAAAAATGAGCTATCACTTTATTTTAAAATCCCATATTTTAAAGTATCCTTTTTTTCAGAGCACTGGAAATTTTAGACCTTTACTTCTGGAATTAGTAGAAGAGCTGATAGAATTAGCAGATTGTTATTCTTTACACGAATCAGCACTACTGTGGCATGAGACTGTGCCATTAAGCTTACACACATTTAATGAGTCAAAAAGTGTGGTAAGATTCAGGAATCTTGGGTTGCTTTTCAGATTTTTAAATTTATTGATTCTTGCTATTCTTTGGTCATTTTAATATTTTGAGGTAAGAGCTTTAAAATTAAATGAAAAGTAGGAAAGCAGACAGTGCCCCAGATTTGGGTCCCTTTGGCACCTACATATGCACTTTTACTTCCTATTGAAATAATGTGTAACCTGTCACTTGTCCTCTAGGTTCTTTTTTCTTAGTAATTTTTCTGTTGGGTCACTATCAGGTTTCATTGCTGTTGGGCATTCTTAAGTAATTTTAAAATACTAAACATGGTCCAAGTCAAGCTAGTCTGAATGAGTTTTAATTCTGAAATATTTTTAAAAAAACTCTTCCACAATCACGGGTGAACAGCCACAATCTTTTCTTTCTCATCTTTGAGCTACCATCCATAGAACAACAAAGCAGAATAATTTATCCTACAGAATTGAATTTAAATACCTTTTGAATGCTTTTAAAAGACTAGAGATGGAGCCCAATTCCTCTCTGCAGTTAGCGGCTTGCAGGTGACCAAGAGTTCTTTGGTTTCTTTCATATTTTACCTAATTTATCTGCCTAGGAATCAAACTCTTGCAACAGAGACCTGGAACAGCAGTGGACTCAGGCTGCGTAAGTCAGTGTCCTTCAAAAGCATCTTTGCAGTGAGTATACTGCTATTTTAGATGAAATGGTACTTGTGGGTCTCATCTTCACAATGCCTACTGTTAAATAATACTACAATTGAAATAAGCTTCACATTATACCCCTGAGCTATGCCTTGCATTATCTAGGCCAACATCTTCACTCAAAAAGGTGCTTATGTGTTTTTTTCCCCACAAGGTAGTCACCTATATCATCTTAGTTCATATATAAAAACCTTCACATGTCCTACATGCCTGTTAAGCACAAGTCAAGCAGAACTTGACAATTACAAAGAGTACAGTCAGACAAGGATGACCAACCAACGCAAGGATGGCCAACCTATGACCCATGGACCAAATCAAGGCCATTAGAAAGACTCATACAGCTCGCAGACCCCTCACTGTCCTCCTCTTTTCTCAGCACTGTTGGAGGAAGGCAAACTATGTCATATGAAAAACGAAATCTGCACATGACAGTTGCTCTGTCAAGGCATGTAACCCCACAAACTGGCTGGGTTACTTCTGAGGTAACTAAAATGTTTAACTATTTCAATTTCTTAATAAAATCCCCCCCAAGTCTGCTTAGATCGCAGGTCTGCCTGGTTCAGAATGTTATTTTTCATAAATATCCCTCTTGATTTTGATCTCCAATTTAGGCTGGAATAGGTTGAATAAAATATTTCTAACTTCCAGGAAAAAAGAAACCAACCAACAACAGACATTTTTCTGAAATTTGTATGAAAGTTTGTAGACAAGCACTTCCCTTACAATTCTTCTGACGGAAATAGTTGGAACCCAAGTATTCAATGCAATATGAATCTAGAAATAAACCCAAACTTCAATGACTGTCATTGTTTATGTGAGAAAAACAGAAAAAAAATATTTTGTCTTCATTAGGTACTCTTATTGGGTTTCAATGTAATATGTACTCTAAAATCAGAACCTCTAACCTCATTATCGGTTTATATACAAAATACCGTTGGGATGGTTACCGGTCACTTTACTAATTACATTTACACTATCTTAACAAAATCAGGTAACACACATCCTTTTTATTATTAATTTTATTAGTAATTAATGGTGCATGATTGCATGTTATGATCAGTTAGGTTTTTTTTTGAGTTTAATAAGAACAATACTCATTGCTGGCAACTTGAATAGATAGCAGAAGAATTAGGCTGAAGTTAAGAAATAGTTTGACTCCTGCTTCTCTACATGCAGCAAATAAACTGTATCAGCAAGTTGTAGTAGTGTAAGATGTTTTTCCAGTAGGTAGAAATATTGCTTTGATTTCTTAGTGTGGAAAAGTTGATGCTTTCTTTTTGTAAATATTAATCATTAGATTCAAGATACAATAAAGAAAAATACAAGGCTTCTAAAAGTAATATATGGAGAAATTAAAGCATTCTTGTGTTACAGAAGAAGGAAGATGGCCAGACCTGCATAACTGAGAAAGGTTGATGCAGCTGAGGCAGCTGAATTTATTACTTATGGGAAAAGAAACTTCTGAGGTTATCTTGCTCTTAATGGATAGTGTGAAACTCAGATTTATCTTAGCGCAAGTTTTCTCAAATGCTTTCCAACAGACATTGTCATTCCTGGAAATTCTAGTCACGAAAATTTCATTGTTATTGCTGCTTTAACAAATTAGCCAATTTAGGAAGTCTTCTAGCAGTTGAGTTACTTGCAGACTCACTACTGATTGCTCCAACTCTTACAGTTTAATGGGTCTGTGACCATAATGACTTTACAGATACATTGCTCCAGGACCTGTAGCAGTTTCAGTCTCAGCAATGAGAGAGAGGTGACTCAGCAGCCAAGTCAAAAGACCCAGTTCACTGGGTTCCTGACTCATGTTTTGCCTTTCATAGTGTCTAGTCCTATACTTGAGACGAAGCTGTCACTTTGCTCTTGGGATATTTAAGGGAAAGTCTGCTACGCTCAACTTATGACAGAATTCACTCAAATGCTTAAAAAAATAGTGTCATAAAGACTTAGGGGAGGCTGCACGTAAATGTATCTGGTGCTCATATACTTGTTAAGGTGGCAAAACCAACTTGCATAGACCGCTTTAGGGTATACCTGGGAAGAGTTTGTAGTCTTCAGCAGCAAGAAAACATGCTGGAAAACATCCTTGAATGCTACAGAGCATGATTCTTGATTTTAAGGAGGTGGCAGCTATGTTGCAAAATGGGCTGCAGTTTCCTTGGCCCCTCTTCACCTCATCCACAGGAAATCTCCTAGTCTCTTACAGAAGGTTCTGGTAATAATGCAGAGAAAAAGTAAAATACCCCATTCTTGGGTCTTTCACCTACAGTTTGCAGAAGTGGTGAAGAAATACAGGAATTAGTTTTTTCTTACTTTTAGCAGCTTTTTACAGAGGTACAATGAATCATCAGCTGCATTTCAAGAGAGTGTATCTGGAGTGCAAATACCAGGGTGCAACTTCTGACACTTCAACTTTTAGTCAGTGCAGGAGGTGTTATTTTTGGTTTAATTTTAAGCCGTGTTGAGATTACAGGAATGCTGCATGGTATGATTATTTCTGAGCTTTGCCCCAAAGCCCCACTATTTAGATCGAAGTCTTTTCAGGTCTACTTTACCATTCACAGGAACTCTATTTCCAGTATTAATGAGAAGAAAAATTCACTAAAATGTTCCTAAAGGAGAAGAATATTTAACTAGGAAGGTATGATCATATCTTTGTGTGAGGCAGCTCTTTGCAAAGTGTGAAAGAATGAAAACTCTCATTACAATCACCATTTGCATAAAGCCAGTCTGGTTAGCTCAGTAGTTAGAAATAATGCTCATTGCTTTCATATAGAGCTGACATCTATACTCAGTGTAATTACAGTCTAACGTACAAAGTGCAACATAGATCCTCCTTTTCTAGAAGTGCTTGTTTTTTGCAGTGCTGATTCAGCTCCTCTAATTCTATAGTATGAGTACATGCAGTCAGAGCTTATTTGGGATAATTGACATTAAAACAGTTACAAAGGGTAGAAAGGAAAAACTATAAGATGTCTACTTGGAATAATTTAGATCTTTGTCTAGACCCCTAGAATGCAAATTAACACTCAGCTACAGTTTCTGTAAACTAGTGCCCAACAGTCAACATGTTATAAATACTTCCTCAAATCTGTACTTTGCGTGATAAGTCTAAGAGTAAATTCAGAGTAGAATTTGTAGATCTCATTTTTTTTCAATTAATTGCACTAATTAACTGATGATAATATGGTATCAAATAGTAGAAGGGATGTTATATAAATAGTTGTTCAAGGACATTTATGATTTTTTCCTAGGATTTCACAAGACAAACTAGACTAAACACCACAACTAGAATAGGATTGATTTTTTTGGGAAACTTGCTTTTTGGAAAAACCTGTAAACTAATTTGTACCCACTCTTTGTAAACTCTTTGAGATAAGGAAATCCTGTATGCAAAATAAATATTTTTTTTTTTGTCTGTAAACAATGGTGAAGTACCTATATAGTCCTACATGATAATTAAAGTAACTCTGCAAGATTCAGGTATAACAACTGACATCAACATTATCTATTATCATCAGATAAATAACCAGAAGTTTCTCACAGCTGTAGGATTTCCTATATCTATTTAACTAATGGAGAATTACAATATACAAAGGTTATTGTATTTTTAATGATAATGTAATTAAGCATGTCTCAACTGAAGCAGTACCTAGAAGTATTCACGTTCATTTCTGCAGAATATATCTTTTGACCATTTCCACCACCTGGTAACTAAGAGACTCATCTGGCTACCATGTCCCAGTTTTGTGTGCCCCACAGCAAGAAAGATATTGGAACAAGTTCAGTGGAAGCCCCAAAAGATGGTTAGGGGCTTGGAGCACATGATACAGAGAAGTTGAGAGAGGAGTTTGTACAGCCTGGAGAACAGAAGGGTAAGGAAGGAAACAGCCTTCAGCTACCTGACGGAAGGTGATGGAGAAGAAAGAGTAAGACTCCTTTCAGAATTGCAGAGCAAAAATACAGAATTCAACAGACAAAAAGTACAACAGGGGTGGCCAAACACTAGAACAGGTCTCCCAGAGAGGTTATAAAGTCTCCGTCCTTGGAGATATTCAACACTTGACTGGACAAGGCTCTGGACAACCTGATCTAACTTTGAAGCTGGTTGTAACTTCAAAATTCAAAGTTATGTCTACTTTGACTGGCCATTGGACCAGATGACCTCCAGAGATCCCTTTCAGCCTAAGTTGTTATATGATGCTATGATTTTCAGAAAAGAAGAATTTTAATTTGTCTTTTTAGCCAGTGGAATTTTAAATCTGAAAATATCTCCAACTTTCATTAATTGAGCCTATGTCATTTAAAGATACATTTCTCAATGGCATCACTGGTAGTGATATCTTCATAGCATGGCAAAATATTCATAAAGGCTGCAAAATTTTATGATAAAAGAAAATTACAGAGGGAAAAAAAATTGAAATCTCATCCCTTCAGGCATTGTTCTGAGTCACTGGAAGTAGTGGCATTCAAATTTTCCAACAGTCCTGCCAAAGTGAGGAAACAATGAAAGATTATTTGCATAAATTATATCCTGCTAGCTATAACATAAAATCTAAAACCAAGAAAGAGGTTCCTGCAGAAAGAGTTGCTTTTATGAATAAAGTTTTGCAGATTGTTCTAACAGTGAGTGAATTCCATTTCTGAAAACAAGAGCAAATTAATAAGCACACAGGTTTTGCACCAGTGCTTTTCAAGCAAGTCAAAATCTCCTCAGAGAAACAGTAGCAAGTCAAATATTTGTAAAGCAGATGCAGCATTTGCCTTAATTCCCAGATGCTCAGAACCCAGATTTCCATACATGAATTGGAGTAGGAAGAAGAGCATTACCATGACTTACTGAAGCTTATTTCATCTATTAGCCAGTGCGCATTATATGTTCCTTTCTATGTTCAAGGCTGTTCAGTGCAGCCCATAGATGTTAGAGTCTTTCCTACACAGACAAGGGCTCATGTTGCACCAATTCTGATGAACAGTACAGAGCCCAGTGTGAGAGTCAGCACTCAGTAACTTATGCTAAAAAATAAGCTGCAAATAGAAATCGTCAACAGTGAAAATAAAAGTACTAACAGGAATGAAGAACAGAAGAGCCTTAATGTATATCCACAGAGTTGCAATCTAACGTAAGTCAGCCCCGTGGTCTCTTTTGTCCTGGAGCTAGAGAGCCTAGCTGAGCTACAGAAATCTCGTTAGTGACCAATGGTACAAATAATCAACATTTCCTGCACTACAGCCAAATCATCTCTTTCCCAGATTACAAAGGCTGCTCTCCTTGGTGCAGACAACATTTAATTGCCAACCACTACCAGACCTACACAGAATACAGCCTCGGTTGTTGGCAGAGATGGTTTAATGAATTTGTGGATTTGTCTCTTCACTGTCCCAATCCAGCTGATGGTGGAAGAAAACGAAAAGCTATCTGAACCCCCGGACACAGAGCTTGGCATGACATTAATGTCAGACAGTTTTATGGAGCACCTCCAGAAGAGCCGGGCAGACAACCGCGCCGTGTGATGCAGGAACGAGCTCTGCCAGAACCCAGGCTGGGGGGGAGGAAGAGGGCGATGGTGGTCCTGACATCCCAGCGCTCCCTCCATGTTTGCCCAACGCTGGGCAAATCCATGCCCGAGGTGATGACATTTAGCTCCATCTGCCACGAAGCTCTTAGCTTGAGTTTCCACGCACTCAGCCTGCTGCCAGCGCAAAGCCTGGAGCTCTGCCATGTGGGAAGGAGGAGCCCATTACACTGTGAAAATCGTTTTCGTATCTCCAGAAGCCAGCATTTCCCATGCCACAGGGAAGAACATTAGCCGTATCTGTTCCATTCATTATTTCAGAAAACGTAAAAATGAAAGAAGCTTAATACCCAGAATCCCTTTTTTACAACTACTGCCATTTTAATTACCCAGTATAATCAATTTTATCTAGGTTAAGGGTTAAATGCTGCAGTAAAAAAAAAAAGAAAAAAAAATGCATAAAATAGGTATTTTTATTTAAAATATATTAACATTAGGGAAAAAAACATCTAAAAATAGCGTAACAAGTCAGAAATATTAAAAGACAGGGATGAAAAGGAAACAGCATTTACTGATGTTTTGTTTCATACTTGTATTGTCTTTTCTTGCAGTCTGGATGAGTAGAAATTCTCCTTTAAAAGGAAAACAAAGGTTCTTAAATTATCATACATTTCCATTAGCTGGGGCAATGAGAAAAAAAATGCAGAAAATAATTCGGGATCCGCACAAAAGATATAAAAGTTTCATTCCTATGGGATAAGAGGGGAAGGGTCCAGATTCAAAGCAGAACATTAAGGAACATGGCAAAAGGGACCTCTTTGGGTTTTGTCTTTTAATATATTCGTTGTAATTAAACAAAAAAAGAGACTTGTATTTTGAATGTTGTAACTCAAGTGAGCCCAACTCAAGTGCTTTATTAGCTCAAAACACACAGAAGAGAGACAGAAGGTGTATAGTT